TGGCATTTTCCACTATTTTCCACTAGATTCACTGGGAATTTTCTGGTTCTGAAGTTCTATCTTCCACTATTTTCCACTATTTTTCCACTATTTTCCACTAGTTCTATCTTTTTGACAAACGCAGTAGGTCCGTAGGTCCGGTTCTAGGCGGGCCCCAGACATCCAGGAACGCCACGATCTTGGCGTTTGGATCCTGGCCATCATTCCATCGGTCAGCTGTGGAGACCCGGCCTGGTTTCAACATACAAAAAGCGACGTAGAAAATTGCCATTTATAGTGGATTTACCCATTAATAATGGTGATTTTCCATAGCTATGTTAGTTTACCAGAGGGTAAGTTTCTATGGGATATATGATGGGATTTTTCATGGGATATATGATGATGGGATTAAGCCTCTGGTAAACAAACATTCACAGTTTGCGAACTGGAAGCCATGGCCCAGTCGAAATAGTGAGTGTTCCCATGAATAGAAAATGGTGATTTTCCACAGTTGTGTAAACGTTTACCAGGCCGGGTATGTCCATCAAAATCATCCAGATCCTCGAGGCATAAGATCAACTGAAATTCAGCACGTGGCCATGGTAAAAGTGTGCTTTGGGGTTTCGGGATCCGGTTGAACAGCAGCTTTTGCATCAAATAGAGGCGTTCCCTGATGTACAGATAAGCAAATCCCAACCATTTGGGTGAGTCTAAAAATTTTTGTCAAACCTCCAATGTCAAATGTTGATTGTTATAGTGATGACCAACCAGTGGATGGTGGTTTTCCCCTAATTTTCAGACAGTTGAGGCCGTCTCGCGGGTTCCAAATCGCAAACTGAGTGATGTGGAGAAGCCAATAAACAGAAGAAACCCCTCTTGGGGCCTCAGTAATTATGGTTATTATTGGGTTAAACATCATGAACAATGATCATCAACTATAGTTTAAACCATAGTTTTTGATGGTTAAAAATTACCATACCACCAAATGCTAGAGTTGGGCCAAAGGAGGATGAATTACTATTGGCTTTGCCACATTAGCAGACCAGAAGCGGTCTGGCTCTGATTTCAGGTCTTTCCATCGAATTTTGTCCATCAATGCCATGAGACCGGGTAGGAAATACCCGTGTAAATCTGTATGAATCCATGTAAATCCATATAATATCATATATATATAGATCATATATATATATACATATGATATTATATATATATATATTGTATATATATATTATGATATATACACATAATCCTATATAATTATCTAATCCTATAGAAATCCTATAAATCCCCTATTATAATAAATCCCATATAAATCCCATATAAGCATCATCGTTGTCCGAGAAAAACGCGGGTCCTGCTGCTGTAGGTCATCCTGACGAGTAACTCATCGATCGAGGAAAGCCATGGTTTTTTGGAGGATCTTCTCAACTCACCATTTTATGGTTTATATATGGGTTATATGATATGGGATCTTCTCTATCATTCCATTTAATCCTGGTTGGTTTATAGATGTATATATATATACTTATATTGCTATATAATGGTATATTATGATTGTATCATGATTATAATCAATGATTATGTCATGATTTTGTCGTGATCCCAATGTTTAAAAATCCCTCTATCATTCCATGAAATACTGGTTGGTTAAGAACGGGATTCCCCCTGCATGGATTATGAAATAATCCCCTATATATGAAGGGTAGAAAAAAATACCCGAACTAATCATCAACCAACAGGGGTGGATCGCAGCCACTGCTCAGCTCGCTAGATCCCAATGCTTTTTGTGTTATACTCCAGCGAACATAGATACGAACAAAAAGGCCCCACGGATGATTTACGTATAGTTTACATATCAAACATGAGGATTGCCCATAGTTATCTTAGTTTATCAGAGGGTATCAAAAAAAACAAGTTCCCGTTTTCCCAATGACAGTCACTGGAGCCAAGGGTCGAGATGGGCAATTGCCTGAAGTCCATCTTCAGCTGTCCTTGCCATGTCACGGCTGCATGATCTGCAAGTTCCATGTATCTGTCTATATTATATGATATTATATGTACGTCACTATAATATGGAGAGCTACAGTATATATAGACACTGGTAAACTAACATAGCTATTGAAAATGACCATTTATAGTGGATTTTCCCATTGAAAATGGTGATTTTCTATAGCTATGTTAAATTACCAGAGGGTAGACACTCATGTCAAACAAAGTCAGATAGAGAATCAAACAGAGCAAACAAGTGATGACGATCTGAACAGAGCTCTACACACCGGGTCCAGGAGCAAACCCGCGGGATAACCTTGAAACCTGTCAAACCAATGGCAAAGTGTTATTGGATTTATAAAAATTAAACTAACCATGCCCAACCCATACCCAGCCCATACCCAACCCATACCCAACCCATACCCACCATGGATTCTTCAGAAAACATCCCGGAACTCCTCAAGCGGCTCTCGGATAAGCCATGAGACCTGAAAAATCCAGTAAATCCGGTTGAATGAGGGATGTTCATTGGCATCCGATGTTTTTTAATGACCCAAACATAGCTTGGGGTTATCGGGTTTATCCCATAAAAATCTGGGTTTGTCGGAAAATTTGTTGTACCCAATTTATCCATTCCATTTAGCCATTTAAGGAGGGTACACCTATTTTCAAACCCATCTGGCTGAATTATAGGACTTCACTAGTTTGTTTCAAACAGCTATAATTACTCTAGTTCATCCAGATTTAAATCTATAGTTGTTTTCTTGGAACTATAGTTGCTATAGTTACTATTTATAGGCTGAACTTACCCTCTGGTAATTTAACATAGCTATTGAAAATGGCCCAGTCGAAATAGTTGATGTTCCCATTTTGTTAGCATGGTGATTTTCCATAGTTTTCTGTATGTTTACCAGAGGGTACCTTTTCTTGGATTTCCTTCTTTCCTTCATGTGTTCTGTGGCTTCAGCCTGAAGCCAATCACCACTGGATCCAAGGATTGGTCTGCCGTGTACACATACATGTACATATGCACACACATATATCTATATCATATCTATATCATATCTATATCATATATATATAGTATAATATATATATATATGTATCTATATATACACCTATGTACACCTACACACACAATATCACACAATCATAGACATCTACCTGTACACGTACATATATAACAACGACCTTCCTGGCCGCCCCAACAGTAGGCCGCTGATGGCCAGCTCCGTAAACATCTCCTGAGCCGCGGCCTTCGGGCCTTCGCCACCCCAGACACTGGTCCAGTAAACTAACAGTTTGCATGGAAAATTGGTGATTTCAAAAAAATAACATTGTGATTTTCAATGGCAAACTGTTAGTCATTACCAGAAGCTAATCATAGTATATCACAGCTATATGCCAACTAATGGAGTTGTTCCTCACCATGGTTATATATATATACACAGTATATATGATATCTGTTTGTAACACCCAGTTTCGACTCACTTCCAACACCGTCTCGCTTCCAACACCCAGAACTCACTCCCAACACCCAAAAGTAACTCACTTCCAGCGGCTCTTCTTACATTAAGTGCAACAACATAAAAACCCTAAAGGTGTCTTGGTTTTTCTTACATTAATTGCAACAACATACAAACCCTAAAGGTGTCATGTCCCTTGTTACATTACTTGCAACAACATAAAAACCCTAAAGGTGTTGTGGCTCTTCTGACATTAAGTGCAACAAGATACAAACCCTAAAGGTGTCGTGGCTCTTCTTACATTAAGTGCAACAACGTGCAACAACATACAAACCCTAAAGGTGTCGTGTCTCTTCTTACATTACGCGCAACAACATAGAAACCCTAAACATGTGGTGGTTCTTTTTACATTAAATGCAACATATACAGGTCTGTGTGTGTGGCTGAGCTTTCTTTGTGTGTATGGCTGAGTATAATCTGTGTGTGTGGCTGAGATAGATTTGTGTGCGTGGCTGTCCTGGACCTGTGCGCGTGGCTGAGTGGATTTTGTGTGCGTGGCTGAGTCGTTTACACCCAAAATGGCTGATGCCAGTAATTATGTAAGTAGAAGGATCCCTCCCCACTCTCCCAAACAAACTCCAAGGTATTCTTATGTATGGTCACACCTGAGTTCCTATGGTAAGTATTGAAATTGTCTTGCTCCCGACGCTGAAACCTGCACGACACCTTTAGGGTTTATATGTCGTTGCAAGTAATGTAACAAGGGACATGACACCTTTAGGGTTTGTATGTTGTTGCCCTTTGTGTATGATGATGATGATGATGAGGATGATGATGATGATGATGAGGATGATGATGATGATGATGATGATGATGATGACGATGACGATGACGATGACGATGACGACCATGATGACCATGATGACCATGATGACGATGATGACGATGATGACGATGATGACGATGATGACGATGATGACGATGATGATGATGATGAGGATGATGATGATGATGATGATGAGGATGAGGATGAGGATGATGATGATGATGATGATGATGATGGTGATGGTGATGGTGATGGTGATGATGATGATGATGATGATGATGATGATGATGATGCAGGGGCACGCGGAGTCGGGAGCGAAACCGTTTCCGGCGTTGGAAGCGAGTCAAAACTCGGCGTCGGAAGCGAGGTGCCGACCCAAAACAAGACCAGACTTTTATCCTTAAAAACTACAGGTGTTTTTTCGTATACTCAGCATGTTTAGCCCATGACTAATTGACTCCTCTCGGGAGCCCCACCTTTGGGGCGCTTCACCACTTGTTAGGCTGGCTGGTATTTTTTTTTCTCAATCGGAATGATCATCTAGGATGGAAAAATACAAAAAAGATGTCAAACAAACCAACAAAATTGGGATTTTGTTGGAAAAAATGAACGTCAAACCAGTAAAATGTTCCTCCACTTCCCATGTTTTTTCCCAGATTTCCAGCGGCACCAAGCGCCTCATCCTCGGCCACAATCACATGGACGTCTGCAAGAGACATAGGCTGCGCCAGCGCCCAGTGGATTTCTGGGATTGATGAAAGCTGCTTGAGGTGGCTAGCAAAAAGCTGCTCGAAGCTGGTTGGAGGGCTTAAACTACTGGAATTCTCATGGTTCCAGAGGAAGATATGCAAAGTATTGCAAAGTTTAAAGGATGTGTTTGATCTTTTTATATCATTTATTCGTGTTGTTTTGCGGCTCGGAATGCTCCGGATCCAGCTTTGGTTTGTTGTTCGAAGCCGGAGAAAGGGGCATCCATGCAGTTAGATGAGGACGAAACATGTAACATGTAGGGTTTGTCTCAACCTTGGCTGTTTTCATGCGTGAAAAACCCATGGAAGACATGGATTTTGCGAGAGCCTGGGCCGACATGGATGGCAAAGTGATGTGCCCCTGAAAGCCTGGAAAAAGATCTCAATCACCTGGATTTGGGGGGTGCAGATCAGCAACAGGCACTGTTGAACTATGGAAGGGGCCACCCCCAAACTAATCCTCCAGCTATGGAAAAACTTGACACAAAGCCAAAGAAACTGCACAGAACACGTATGGTTTGTATAGGAACATAAGAACATAGACCAGTGAATCACTGAGCACCCAAAGTCCCCCAGCAGGGATGCTTGTCCCAGTTGAACAAAGCCATCCCCAAAGCTTGGTCCATGACACCCACAGTTCACCAGTTTTTGTATGCCACTGTTCACCACCAGGTGTTGCTTGTGCTGAGTGGAACCTGAGTTCAACTAGACTAACTGCTTGTGCTAAGAAGTTTGGTCTTGAACACCATCCGTGACGCCCAAAAAAACAATAGGACGAAAATGGCAAAAGGGAGACGCGTTTGGACAGGCTATGTTAGTATGTCCCCTGTGATGGTTTTCGTCTGGGGATTTTGCGACATGGCCCTAACTTTCACTCAAAAATTGTCCGGATTGAATAAGGCTGGGATTTGTTAAGGTAAATGTGGTTTATGTCAGAGTTTTGGCGGGTGATTACTTCATAATATATGTTGTCAAGATATTGTAAATTGATAATCAGCTTCAGTGTCTCCACGTTTCATCATCTTCACCTATTCCATCCCAATGTTCGGACACAATTGTCTTGATGTTGTAAACACTAAAATGGTTGCATCTCTATCAAGACCTCGTTTGTCAATCAAGTGTCTCAACTCTGTCGATTGTGTATAGTAGTTTTGTTGTAATGTTGTCTTTCCTCCTCGATGTGGTGTATTCTCTTGCCGTGTTTTCTGATTAAATCTTCATTGAAGATGTGTTTTTTTCTTCATATGGTACCCTCTGGTAATTTAACATAGCTATTGAAAATGGCTATTTATAGTGAGTTTTCCCATTAAAAATTGTGATTTTCCATAGCTATGTTAGTTTACCAGAGGGTAATGGTTGATTTCTCCATACTCTGCATATTGGTCTAAAGATTGGTCTTTCTTAAGGAGCAAATCATTGGATACAGAATCATAATCAGGATATTGAATTTATGTTTAAAATCATTAGTATTTCTCTGTTTTCATTTTATCCTTTCAATTGTTGTTCCATAACCCATTTTCTGTTATGGCATGTGTTTTTCTTTTATACACATATGTATTTATATATATATATTTATAGATATTTTTGTCTTTATAGATATACATATTTATATAGATATATGTTGGTATTTTTATCATATATATATAATGTAATATATATATATAATGTAATGTAATGTAATGTAATGTAATGTATGTATTTATTAGAATTGTAGGTACGCGTCTACTTCTGTTTGATTACAGTAACTTTCGTAACCTTTGAACAAAGTTTCAGTTTATGTATGCAAGAAGATATCCAATATGTTGTTTATCGTGTATTCCCTATGTTTAAACATGTAAGATCTTTCAAGATCACATCACCACCAACATTGACTTTTCCTACAACTATTGACATACTCAAGGTCGTGAAACTCTTGAAGGATATGAATGAATATGATAGGTATATCTTCATTCCTTCTTTACATAGGATTTAATCGCCAAGTGGAATGCGTTCTTTTTGAATTCTTGCTTATGTCACTCATTATCCAAAAGGGTGGTTGTTTCCCTTCTCATCACTCGGATACATTCGGTCGGTGTTAGATAAATCGATAGGTGGTGTCATCCTTGTTTTAAAGAATAGTCAAAATAGTATTCTGGTTGGTGGTATACCTACCCCTCTGAAAAATATGAAAGTCAGTTGGGATGATGACATTCCCAATATATGGAAAGTCATAAAAGCCATGTTCCAAACCACCAATCAGTATTTGCTTTCCTGAATATGGGAACCTGATGATAAACCACTAGATTTGGGCCCTATGTTCAAACAAAGCCACGGTTCAACAAATTGCCGCTTTCAACCCTGAAACCTATGTCAATTCTGGATCATCCCAGGTGAAAACCTCATGAAAAGGGGCCGGATTGACTATCCGGACTACTACCCCCACCAGCCGAAGCCAAAAAGTTCAAGACGAATCGGCTGGCGTCACCTGCGAAATTCTCGGCCGAAATCTCAGTCTCCATTTTTTTTTGCGCACGATATCTTTGCTTCAGCGGTGAATCAAATGTTTTTGAAACGAAACTTCCAGTTGCTTCTCAGGAGCAGAAGTCTGCTGAAAAAAAACGTTTTTGGCCAACAGGAACTTGGAAGGAGGTGTTACTTGATGTTACTTGCATTTACCTGTCTCCAGTCACTTCGAAGCAGCTGGAAGCACAGCTCACATCTCTGTGGTGGGAGCTGATCCATAAGGCGATGGCTGGAACCTGTTCGAATGCAATGCACTCAACTTTGAAACCAGTTCAAAAAATCCAAAGAAAAATCGAGATCCAGGTTTTTGGGCACTCAATGATTCAAGAATAATGATCCATAAATGATCAATGATTCCAGGATGCACCCTGTTTCTTTAAATGGCCACTTTTCTTCAGTTTGATCACCATTTTGGACGTCATCTCTCCTGTTTTTGGCTGGGCACTGTTGTGAACTTTCACCAATAAGCCATGGGAAAATCTGATCCAACTCGCTTTTGGTTCCACTGCACTTGCCAGCCGCACTCACTGCTGGACCGGCCGCCGGTCGCCTGAACGGACGCAGGTCGCCTGCCACCAGGATATTGGGGATCTTGAGGATCCTCATGACCACACTGAAATGGTATGCATGTGTACTACAAATCGAAGGTCCCGCAACGAATCGCTTGGGCTACTCACTGTAGTTACTAGTTTGGTGTCGGTGTCACTGGGAAGATTCAATCTCAGTCCTTCCGAAGCCAAAGTATACCTCAAATAATTCTGGTTTTGAAAGACCAAAAACTGGACTAGTTGGTGGATTTAAGGGATCTTTTTTGAGAGTGACCCATAACCTCTCTTCCGACTCTTGTTAGCTAAATCACCAACACATCTATATCATGCGTATGTCTTTACATATATATATACACATATCTACATATGTGTATGTGTATATGTATATAATATTTATAATATATATATATATAATGAATTATATATTTACATATACAGAAGACATAAAACACGCATATCTCCAGCATGCCTCAGATGGCGCCCAAGGACATTCGGGTGAACTCTTCCCTGCTGGTGCATTCCAGATAGCCTGGAGCGGCTGGTCAAAATCAATGGCTTTTTCACAGTTGGATCAATGGAACTTAGAGTTGGTTTAAGGGACAAGATATGGGAGAAAGATTTCTGTTTCAGTTGGTTTAAGGGACAAGATATGGGAAAGATATGATAAGATATGTGTCCTTAAGCAGATTCAATCTTAATCATGCTTTTCTCAGTTTTTAGCCGACGTAGTTTTTCAAGATATGACGATCAATGTCAAAAGATTTGTCCCTGGGGTTGTCTGAAAATAGGTGGATGATACCATGTGAATCGTTACCCTTTGGTAAACGTTTACATAACTACTGTATGGAAAATCACCATTTTACAGAGGGTAAATCCACTATTTCAATGGCCATTGTCAATAGCGTTTTGTATGTTTACCAGAGGCTATACCATCATATATCCCATTAAATCCCATTAAGTCCCATTAAAACACCATATGGGTATGCTTCCTTTTTCCAATGGCTATCAACTGGCCCAAGGAAATCCAATGGAATCTGCAGATGAATGGTGGACGTGGTCCACGCATCCAATGGGAAATCCAATCATAATGTCATAATGGGCATCATGGGTATATTATATGTATGTATGTATGTATGTATGTATGTATGTATGTATGTGTATGTATGTATGTATGTATGTATGTATGTATGTATGTATGTATGTATGTATGTATCTATGTATCTATGTATGTATCTATGTATCTATGTATGTATGTATGTATGTATGTATGTATGTATGTACGTAGGTAGGTAGGTAGGTATGTATGTATGTATGTATGTATATATTATATGTATATAATATATACTGTATATATATATAGATATTAAAACCCTTAGAAAATGGGTGTCCCACCTTCCCATCCCAGAACGTCCCTGAAGTGCCTGGGTACTTCGCGGTGTCCAAGCCCAAGGTTTGACAAACAAGCTCCTGGGTGCAAGGGCCACAGCCTGTTCTCAGGGACGATCGGGATCATCAGTAATTGGGACTGGCCAAAAAAAAAAATGTTTCTGTGTGAACTGTGGTATACCCTCTGGTAGTTTAACATAGCTATTGAAAATGACCATTTATAGTGCATTTTCTCATTGATAGCATGGTGATTTTCCATAGCTATGTTAAATTACCAGATGATACATCCTAGGTTTACAACCAACACAATAGCTGAAAACAAATGTTGCACTTACAATTTTTATGGCCCCAAGGACGTCAGCTGGTTTCCATCCCATCCGCAGATCTCGATCTCATCGGCCAAGGTGCCATACCACCCGCAGGGAAGTCACGATCAAATGTGGCTTGATAGATGGCCAAGACCTCGATCTCCAATGTCACAACTGGAAAAAATCCATGGGCCGAAACGGATACCTTTTTCTCCCGTTTGTGAACATCAAAATAGCTGGGAAAAAA